AAAGTGTAAATTCCACCTGTATGTTTAAACTCAACCTACTCCTCTTGACATAACTCAGGAACCACAAGTCTCTAAACTCTGAGGTGAACAGTAAATGCTAGTTCACATTATTTTCTTCCCTTTGGTGTAAGATTAATAATGATTATGATTAAGAAAATATGCATTTTTTCTTCAGTTGAAATTCAGTGTCCATGTGGGCTTAGCTTTTATCCAATTCAAGTATGTCAGTGAGTGAGCTTTTGCAGAAAATCAGACTTAAGGTTCCCTTATACACTTGCCTAGGACTTCAATTGGATTCATTTCACTAAATTGCCTTTATCTGTATATTTATTCCTGATAGTTCTAGTATGCAACAATATTTTCTATAAATATATATACCGTAAATATACATTTTTATTAAGCACTTCTCCTAAAATACATTTCAAAAGCGCAGATCCAGAGTTCACCCTGAATAACACAGATGTGTTGCCATGGTAGAGCTACTTGTTCTGTCGCTGAAAAACACATTTTAGTGTAATATAAAAAAACCCATAAAATATCAGTTCAGGCATTTATTTATGTGTCTGTGGAAAACATAACAAATGAATAATTCATATTCATCGTAGCCCTGATATTAGGTTAAAACATATTTCAGGGGCGGATCCAGAGATGTCCAAAAGTGGGGCCGATAGAGACACTGTCGTAGGGGTCCGGGGCATCTCCCGCGGACTTTTTGTGTTCTAGACGCCCGAAAATAACATTTGAGGCGTTTAGTCCTCACAGATCGATCTAATGTGACGTTGTTATGTGGGGTTTTTTTTATATAGATTATTGAGAATGGTAATATCACCGAAAAAATAGATAAAATGACAGTTGAATGACCAACAAAGACAACTGAAGACAATTATAGTTCGTTATTAGAAGTTATTTAGTATAACCTTATTCGGAAAATTAATCTCAAAATCGAGTTGCCGTCTCCGGCGTTGTCAGTGACGTCGTATGATTTGTCTGCGATTTTTACCAATTAACTCCTAAGTAAAAAATAGTTGAGCCATGTAGTAGGCCTACCTTGCAAATCAACCAAGAAACCCGGTAGTTTGTTGATTGTTTATTGGTAGCGTCCCTTCGCTGCCAACAATAGTTTCTTTGGCAGTTGCGTCCACGGTAACCTCGTGAGGGCATGGTGGTTACGATTTGGTGGTACATCGATTGAGTATTTTCATTCATCGTGCCATGTAAGTCAGTGGCGTATCTAGATGTCTTGAAATGGGGGGAGGGCGTGAAGGTGAAACTGGGGGAGGTGGCCTCGATGATCATTTGAGGTGCGCTAATTCGCAAAATAAGGTGATTTTAGGTGATTATTAACTACTTGACTGTGATTTGAAACCAGTGTCAGTATAGGTAAACATGTGGTTAACATAAGCAAGAATTTAGTCCAATGAAACTGTTTATTAATAGAACATAGGGCTTTTCACCACTACTTTAATGAGAAAATGAAGTTGAAATTGTAACAAAAAGGAAAGTCTTTATTAAAAAGTTATAAAGGGAAAAAAACCCAATATAATTTTAATGAAGTTGGGGAAAAAACAACGGAAACCAAGTTCACTGCGACGTTATTAGTGAGACTTGAACTATGGCTGCAATTGTAATAGCGAGGTACATCGTGACATAACCATTGCGCACCACATGAGCCGACCTTGCATAAGAAAGTGTATTTTAAGTTCATAGCGATTCCATGAATGAAAGCAAAAATTGTTAATGCATATCACGGTAGTTTTGAGCTTAACCTAGCTGTAACTGGTTTAAGCGCTTTAGAAAACGCAAATTACGTTTAAGTAATTTAATCAACTGTCAACAAAAAATATTTAAATGGTCCTCATATCCACACCCTACTGCGGATCGTCACCAAAATTGGATAATTTCTTCATTTCACTATGAGAAACTATTTTGGAAAGTGTCATTTTTATTCATCTATAACTGGGACGTAAGCAATTTAAATGACCCTCAAATTTACACCCTAACCTGGATCATCCCATACACATGATATCTTCCTTGTAAATTGGGTTAAACTTTCCGAAAGTCTCATTCGGATCAGTTGACCGGTTTTTGAAATATCTGGTCTGGGACGTTCCTCATATTCACATCCTACGTCGGACCATCACAAAAATTCAGTCATTTTTTTATTGGACCTTTACAAACTATTATACAATGTTACAATTACACCCATTGAAAAATATTTATAGATATTTACGTCTGGGATCTCAAAAATTTAAATGACCCTCCAGTTTACACCCTTGACTGATTCGTCGCCAACACATCTACCTTCCTTGTAACTTAGTTAAAATATTCCGAATTTTTCATTCAGATCAGTTGATCCGTTTTCGAAATATGTGGTCTGGGTCGTTTTCTTTCAATGGTCCTCAGATCTACACCCTACTCCGGGTCGTCACAAAAATTTAATCATTTCTTTACTCGACCTTGACACACTGTTATACAAGGTTTAAATTATACCCATTGATTTTTTAAAGAGATATTTAGGTCTGGGTCCTTAAGAATTGAAATGACCCTCACATTTACACCCCTGACTAATTCGTCGCCAGCACATAATAATTTCTTCCTTGTAACTTGATTAAACATTTTCCGAATGTTTCATTCAGATCAGTTGATTTCGTTTTCAAATGTGTGGTCTGGGACGTTTTCCTTTAAATTGTCCTCAGATCCACACCATACTGCGGATCGTCACAAAAATTTAATCATTTTTTTTACAAGATCTTTACAAAGTATTTTAGAATGTTTTATTTAGACCCATTGGTTTTTTTAAAGAGATATTTAGGTCTGAGTCCTCCAAAAATGTGCAAAAAAAAAAAAA